AGTCTCGATCAGAATGGCGTCATCACAAACACTGAGCTATCAAATCTGAGCGTGTCGCATGAAGCTAATGATGGTTGGTCAAACAGATACTCAAGACATCGCACCATGGTACAGCGCAAAAATCGAACAGCTATTAGTAAATTTACGTTAGGGAAACAAGGTGCATAGGAACCGAGACTCAGATGACATCATGCACAGTTTAACATCATCATCATTACACGTTAGCTGAAGGTAATAAAAACATTTTAGCTATTGTGCCGAAGCACAAAAAGATGTATTAAAAAGCGAGACACCAACAAATTATAGAATACTAAAATTACAGAGCTAGTAATTGAAGGCTAAGTATCATGTCGTCCGCGGAGTGTGAGATCGTGGTAGGTGGGGAAGCTAAGCAGAAAGAGGAGGGACAAAGAAACACAATACAAACGCCACAGAGGTCGGCTCCTGGATATGGCAACAGCTGTCTCCAAGCAAACGTGTTCATCATTCTTCGGACCCCAGCGCGGCAGTCGGCAGACATCAACTGATGCCAACTTCGAAGTGACGTCCTTAATTCCACTTGACCAAGTCATCGCTTGGTTTCCCCTCCTCTAATTCAATCCACACCCCCGGCGCGCAAACAACGTACGTCGCGGGAGTCAGTGGGCTGGTAAAGGCAACACGTAAATAACGGTGCTGATCGGTTCGCTTCTTCTTCCTGTCCCATGAACAAAGAGCTGAACACGCTCGTTGCTCACGCAGTGTTCCCACCAGACATGAGCCAAACTGCAAAGGCACCGGTGGTCGAACGTAACTAGCCTCTTTACGTCTGCGAATCTAATGGGTCAGGTTTCACAACCGAACAGGATGGGTTGAACGGACGGCTGAATCGTACACTTTACCCTTCATGAAGAGAGTGATGAGGCGCCGGTGGCATAGATGGTGAACGTTAGTAAAAGCGCCTCGAGCTTTTACCATACGGCTCGTGACCTCGTCTTCGATTCCACAGGTGTTGGTATAGCTGCTTAAGTAGTTGAATACCCGAATGAAGTTAACTAATAAGTACTCACGGACAGCGCAGGAGGCGATTCCTGTCAATCATAGGAGAAAAGTTTGCACTTCCAGAGTGCAACGCAAAGTCCGAAAGCATTGACAAACAGCGCTAGCCTGTCTAGTATTGTTTGGCTGATTTGAGAGTTATCACAGATGAGGTCCTCAGATGAGGTCCTCATCTATGCAACCGGCGCGATATCACTCTCTTCATGAAGGGTAAAGTGTATGATTCAGCCGTCCGTTCAACCCATCCTGTTCGGTTGTGAAACTTGGCCCATTAGATTAGCAGAGGCTAGTTACGATCGACCACTGGTGCCTTCGCAGTTTGGCTCATGTCTGGTGGGAATGCTGCGTGACCAACGAAACAGGACAACGTTGAGTCGCTAATAAACACAGCGGTACTCTAAAAATTAGCGTAATTTGAAGATGTAGTCCATACAACCTCGATTTCGATGGATCCCGTGTTGCTCCTCGTGTATCTGGCTTTAACGACTACCAGTCAGTACATGCAGAACGACGAGGACCAGACTGATTCCTCTGTGATTGCATCCCTGAAAATTGTGATTACAACGGAGAGGCTCCAGTCTGCTGCGACAATTTCCTGCTCAAACACCTTCCCAAGTAAGTTGTGCAGATCAGCTAGAAGAGCAGGTCCCCGAATTTGAAGATGGCTGGAGGAAGTCTATCTGCTCCTGCGATCTTGTTCACTTTTACCAATCTGATCCCAACTTCAACTACTATGCAGGAGGGCAGCTCCAAGGAGACGGCCCAGGGAGGTCAATCAAGGGCGGACAAGGAAGCTGGTAGCCCTGGATGATTAAACTGCTAATCAAAGCGTTCAGCGCAAAGTTCCAAGCGTTTTGACAAGCTATGGATCGGTTGTCTACTCTCTTCGTATATGATTTCGCTAACTCCATCAGCCCGTTTCGCGTATCAGTCGGAATAATTTACGATGGTTACCAGCAGCAGCGGTTGTGTCCGTTTCAGATGTAGGTTGAGAGCACTAAGCCTCACCGTCTCTTTTCAGGCTGGCACGGAGTTTCGCAGCGAGATCTTGGCGAGTCTTACTGAGTTCGCATCCAGTCGGAACACGTAAGCGAGAATTCAGAAGTTGCAGAGACGGTAGTGACTCAATGTTCAGGTTGGCGATTCGACATACCACATGAAGATAGGCCTGCCGGTAATAACCTCTGGCGGATATGCGACCAGTGATTTTCAACTGTGTTCAGTTAGCGCTTATTCAATCCGCATGTCAGTGTACTTCGACACACACTTAGAACATCTGCCTTCGCCAGTTGGTAAGTAGTTATGCGCTCACAGCGTCGTTGCGGACGACCGCCGATAAGCACCCGCAGGTCGCAAATACAAGTAGGTGGTCATAATCCACTCTCGTGCTCCAAATTGAGCAGCATTTTTGGACACAAGCGCTCCAACGGCAACTGATCGCGATGTGATCGATTTGCGTCCATGCCTGGTCCGGAGATGTTGGCGCCATGTCACCCTCCGGCGGGTGCTGTGTCGGAAGTTAGTGTCCGCGACAAATAGACGAGCATCTTCACACAGGTGTAACGACTGCTCATTGTTATCATTAAGGAAGCCTACTCCGTGTTGGCCGCTCAGATGAAGCCCACCAATGGAGAGTTTTCCAACCTGGATGTTCAGATCGCCAGCTAGTACCACAGTATCCGAACCTCTCTGTGACGAATGAGTTCGATCAGTTAGTGGTAGAAGTTATCCTTTACCGAGCCAGCGCTACAGTTTGTGAACGCGTAGGCCGCAAAGACAAGCAGACACCGTTTGTCTACACGCGACTTTGAAGCAATGAACGAGCCAATCAGTCGGACGGCACAAATCCGGTTGTTCATTGGGATCCAGTCAACCAGAGCAGCTTTAGTCCGGGGACTCAAAGTAATGCCCACACCGGCTTGAGCAGCATTTGAAGCTGCATCATCTCCAGACAAACACAATGAGAATGTGCCTCCAGTGTCCCTTGTGGGGGATCGCAGATCAATCACGGATCTCCAGTGTTCAGGTAAGTACTGCCTGTTGTTCAACATAACATAGTGCGCACATTGAAACATGCCAATTTTACGAAAGATCAATAACTCTAAATTGAAATGAATGAACTGACGTCGTCCGCTTAGTTGAACTCAAAGTTGTTTACTGGATCAGAGCGACGGACTGCGATTGCGTATGAGTTGAAATTTGAAGACAAAGGACTATTGAAGCAAGATGTGAGAGGACCAGGAATTATGGGGGTTGAAAATGAGGTGGTGAAAGTAAAGTTGGAACGGGACGATAAGGGTGAGAAAGCGAGAAAGAGGAATAAGGGAACGGGAAGACCTGAGCAGTAGCATCTTCATCCCTATCCCTCACTGCTTGATGCAGCAGATAGGGCACTCACTTGTTGATCGTCAGCGGCGGTCAGAGCATAATGGAAATGTTAGACGAGAAACTCATTGTATTGCTTTGTTCGGTTGCCCAAGCCTTGACAACAGAATGATTAGGGTTCTCAAGCAAAGCCTTGGTTCAAAAACCTGACCGCAAGGCAGAGGAGTTTTGACACTGCACTACAGAGAGCCCGTTTTATGTTGTAAGGAGCCACTCACACTAGAGCCCCCAACCTGGAGGGCCAGGATATTGAGTTTGTCTGGCCTCTAACCACTTACCAGTCCGGTATGAGTGGCTCTGAAGATGTAAAATTATCGCCCAGTATAGCTCAATAGATCAATGAGGCATATCGATTATCGCACCGCGTTAAGATCCAATCTCGTCGCGACAGGTGTTTAGAGATTTCGCCCTTCGGAGAGTGCACTGTGGTGCAAGGCTGTTCTGGTAAATGGCCGAATGAAACACTGGTAACCACCGCAGTCAGTGCTGTAAAGCACCAAAGGTGAATCCCATTTCGCAATGTCCATGGGTTGAAAAACACCAACAAAATCGAGTGGGAATTCCACCAGGAAAACTGTGTGGAGTGTTGAATAGAGATTATACAGCCTAGGTAACAAAAGCTGGGTGCACATTCCGTCATAAGAAGCACCAAACGGTGGTGCTACAAAATTCGTGTCTTCAAAAATAACGGAGCAGTAAAGCTCCGCTGGTAGCTGCACGTACACTCATCCGGACGTAGAGTAGCAAAACCAGTGGAACGCGGGGTATGCAGAAGAAATACTAGAGGAAACAAGCGCAAAGAATAGCAAGCATGGTGTAAAGACCCGGATAAATCGATGGCAGGATAAGAAGCATAGGTGTGCACAATGATCACTGGTAACTGATGGAAAAGTTTGGCGAGCATGCTGACGCGCTGGCCAGTGACATCCCAGTGGGTCCATTCACAGTCAAGTGAATCGCATAATCATATAGAAGAGCCGGCTTGAAGCACTTCGCGCGGAGCGGTGGAATGGTACAACAATCAGTCCAGCCATGTTTTTACCGAATCTTACATCCTATTTTGCACAGAACAATGACCGCGCCAGGTAAAGGATCACCCCATTGAAGAGAACACCTTGATCAGAGCTACTAAAATGACATATATGCTCCGATAGGGAAAAGTATGCATGAAAATCAAAAAAAAGAGTTATGAACACAAAAAGAGTCCGCGAAACAGCGATCGTGGTGCTAATCTGCACAAAGCGAGGGTCACACAACCATGCTATCTGTTTCTAGAAAACGAAGCTGATAGACATAGGAAAAGGACGAAGGAAGCCAGTTCCAAACGTGGGAGACACTTGAAGGATAGGTAAGCGAAAACGACACCAAGTGAATCACCACGGTGAGGTAGGATGAGCGTGCCCACAATTCTCGCATACGTGGACGGACATAAACCAGAACGGCGCTAGCATCCTCGTGAATGTTATTTAGGTTGGTGCTCAACAGTAACACTCCGGGATATTCCGGTTAAATCATAATATACCGGAAGTGAAAGAAGATAGAAGCGGTTGGTGCGATGAACAGGAAATAACACTTACGGGGAGCACTGAAACGAGCGCTAAGATCAGCCAAAACGCATCCAGGACCGGGATAACGGGAACCAAACAGGCAGGACAAAAGGCTGAAAACGGATGGGGTATGTTTAGTCACGTTTCATTTACGACAGATTGGAAGACCACATTCTACACCTCGCTAGGCATGTTCCCTACAGAGTGAGTGCTCATGAAACGCACATCAGGAGGCCAAAGAATACTGCAACCGATGCATAAGATAGATCTACCGGAATAGTGTAAAAATAAGCACAAATGATACACTTGTATTACAGTGTCACAGAATGGAAGTCTGTCGACAGCTTAAGCCAGTGTTAATATAAATACAATGGAAAAATCAAGAGAGTGGTTGTAGAATCGACTCGTGCAACTAAATGAAATGCTTAAAATAACAAGAACAATCAGATCACGGGATAACCTGAATTAAGTCTGGCTCGCATGTTTTCAATCAACCGTTTACAAACATATAATGGTAACATTTGTTGAATAGTTGCGCAAAACCACAACTGGCCCCTGGGATGGGACTGGAGGGAAAATGATTGGAGCAGTCGAGAAAAACTACTGAAATGGCATACCCAAACAACAAGCACTTACAGCTTATCGAAATCAGAGACTGGTAAACTCATAATCATAGAATTAACTAATTTTGTGGGGCAAGTCCAATAGTGCTTGAGAAAATGCTAGCACAGCAAAAACGTTAACAAATGAGGCGAAAGGGGTATCACAAACAGTGCTCTCGTGATCCGTAGTAGAAAGAGGTTAGAATGGGAAACCATTACGGAAAACATCTATTGTTTGTCGGGCCAGATGAAAAAATCATGTGGAAATGATGGGACCCACCCGAGGACCAATGTTCCGTGGACAATACATTGCCCGTACTGTGTTTTTCTGGCGAATTCCGGATCAATATGAATGGGATTGTTGTCTCCGGAGAGGACGCTGAAAGCATTCACATCTTCTTGGGTAAATTTCCGGACTATTTTGATCTGATCACCCACAACAATTGAACGAGAGAAGGATAAGAATGGAGGTAGCCTCCTAAGGCAGCAGATCCGAGAGAAAGGTGATGGATGCTGAAATGTGAATGTAGAACGTGAGACGCCAACACTTCAAAAAGAACAACGCTTCTCACAGTTACTCATCACATTCATTACACACTGGCTGAGGGTGAAAAACATACTTCCACTATTGTGCCGCAATACAAAAAGATGGGACATGAAAAGGGTACTAATCATTATAGAATGCAATAGATGGCAACACTGTTTAATAACATTATTCTGCAAGTGATAGATCGTGGTTGGTGAAGATAAACGGGATAGGGAGGGACAACGAAACTCACAATACAAGTGAGATTGAGGTCGGTTCCTTCACCGCTCAATAAGTGTATCCAACCAGATGTGTTCATCATCCATCTGTCCCCGCCCGGCAGTCTGGAGACACGAACCGACGCCAATTTCGAAGTGAGGGACTTCATTCTTATTGACCAAGTAATCGCTTGGCCTCCCTGCTCTTCTTTCCAACAACACTCCCGGCGAGAAAACAACGCATGACGCAAGAGTCGGTGATCAGGTATGCGCAACACGTGGCCCATCCATCGGAGAATGGTGCGTGAAATAATGGCGCTCAACGGTTCACTCGCTCTTCTCACACCAAATACGCGACATCGAACACGCTGATTGCTCATGCGGTGTTCCCACCAAATAGGAACCAAACTGCAAAGACCTCGATGGTCGAACAAGACAAGTCACTTTTGATCTTTTGATCTGATAGTCCAGGTTTTTCAAGCGTACAGGAGGATTAAACAACGGCTGAATTGTAAACTCTGCCCTTCAGAGCGAGAGTGATGTCGCGCCATCGTCAAAGGTGGAGGAGGTTGGCAAAAGCATTTCGAGCTTATGTTATACGGTTTTTGATCTCATCTTCCATTCTACTGGAACTGATACAGCCGCGAAGATATTCAAGTTTCTCGACAATTTCTAGCTGACAACTACCAAGGCTCCGCGCAGGAGTGATATACGCAAATCTTGGATGACATTGCATTTCGACAGTATAAAGCATGGGTCGAAGCGACTGACATCCAATGCTAATTTGTCCAGTGCTACTTGAATGTTTGAAAGCTGTCGGAGATAAGGGCAGTGTCGTCGGTGTAATCCAAGTCAAGAAGATGATCTCCTGAAAGCAGCTCCATGCATTACAGGTCGTGTGTAGCGAACCCAGTCTCCATGACCTGGTCAATAAAGAAGTTAAAAAAGAAAGGTAACAGCGAGCATCCTTGGCTCACACCGCCGGAGAAATGGCAGGGTGGCGACAACTTGCCGTAAGCACTCACTCTGCCCAAATTATGCGCCTAAAGAGGTCTGATAAAGTTTACGTATTTTCGGGCACACCTTTCCTGAGCAGACAGTCTCAAAGGGCACATGGGTCGACCGAATCCAAAGCGCCTTTGATGTCGAGGACCACGAGTACGGAGCGTCGGCAATACATATGACGGTACTCTTACAGTTGAGATAAAGTAACTATGTGATCAATAGAACCCCGACTTCGACGAAACCCGGTTTGCGCCTCATGAATCCAGCTTTCACGTTTGGCAGAAAGTCTATGAAGAATAACAGAGGCAAGTATCATAAGGCGAGAACAAATTTTAAGTTAAAACGGGACGATAAGGATGAAAAGGCCCAAGCGGGGGAATAAGAAGTAGGGAAGACTTTAGCAGTAGCATCCTCATCCCCATCTACCCATCTCAATGCAGCAGATGGGGCGCCATTGATTATCCGCCAGAGCAACAAGAAACCATTTGGAGTGTAGGTCACAGAATTGTATTGCGTGGGCAGGATACTAACAAGTTCCCGAGGCCTAGACAGGAAAAGGATTATGGTTCTCAACCAAAACCATTGGTTCAAAAACCATACCGCAAGGCAAAGGGGTTACTAACAAAATTCATCGCATCGCGCTTAATCCTCGCAGGAGATAAAAGATCAGAACAGCAAGTGGAAACATGTTTGTGAAATCGTAAAGCGTGTTTGCCGACAAAGAATCGGTGACAGTACTAACTAGTGTGCTATCACGAAACGAGGTTGAGAAGGGGAGAACGGCGTTAAGTGAAAGTAAAATGCATCCATCCGTCGGATCGAAGCGTACGCACATACAGTGAACTCGAGAGCAAAGTTAAGTCTCCAGTGCAGAATTCGAACCAGGGTCATGGGTGTCTTCGCTCGACAACAAACAAAACAAGCCTACATCAGCCATGATCCTATTTATCAAAACAGTTGTTTCTACATGACAGCAAAATGCAGACAAATTGCGGTATCATCCCAAAACCAAAACAGTATTTCACAATTAGAAACCTGATGACCAGAGACATCCGGATCCGGACATGCCTGTCGCGGTAACATACGCAGGACAGCTACAGAATGAGCGCATTCAGAGGGACAATGGGTGGCTTGCGCTGCACCACCCACAGCTCCAACCACATATCCCATATCCAGTGTAAACCCGAAGGAATAAGACCGGAAAACATGCGGATGGGAGCCACGTTTCATCAACGGAGCCGGCCCACACTCCTTCACAGGCAAACACAAGCGCGCTGTATTTGGGAATCAAGCGCACATAAGGCGGTGGCTGAACCGTAGTCCACTCCACACTGAGTGCATGGAACCACTCTTTGATCCTAACGCGGCCAAAAGGATCGTGCACCCCGTCCCCTCCAGCAACGAGCAACTGTCTCCTCGAGCCAGTAGACAGGTAGGCACCTTGTCAACATGCACATCAAGCGCAGCCACACCGGGGATATCAAACAACAGCCAATCACTTGAGAGAAAGCGAACAAATAAAATAAATCGAGGAATGCATAAGGAAACGGTGACGTAAATCTTAAATTAATCAGCATATGAAATAAGTTGTTTACGAACGAAGCCGAGAAAAGTTCACGAGGACAGAAAGTATAGTTTAGGGAAATGCCACAAATACGAAAATGTTATCGAAATTAACTACAATTAGCTTAAGCGACGTGTGCAAGTTTATAGAAGAGTACAGGTAGACATACATTTGAGAAAGAAAAGCGTTAGAACAAAAGGTCACACAAAAACGGAAATAAGAAAACTTAGCATGCAAGCAGGAGGCTAGTAAATCGGATGCAGAATACCTACAAACGCTGCGCCGGTTCTGAATACTTCTCTGCAGGACCCGTCGTCGCTTCGGTAGTGCTCTCGAGTGGCCTCGCTCATGGCTCACTAGGCCTGCCTGACCCAGGCACTCTCGACCGCATGTGATACAGCACATGCGCTCGATGTCGAGGGAGTACAATTTATCGGTGCTTGCCGCTTCTTCTCTGAATGTATGAGGTCATTCTCCCGCACTTCTTCAACTGCCTTCGTGATTAGATCTCGCCATGCATGCCGATCAACCATCTTCGATTCCCATGATCCGCAATCAAGTAAAGATAGTGAGAGGCTCAGTTTGATCATGTCCTGGTAACGTAACTTTGGTTTCCCAGCATGCCGCTTCCCAATACTCAGCTGACCGTATAAGAGTTGCTTCGGTATCCACGTTGAATCCATACGGCTCACATGACCGAGCCATCTCAGGTGTCGCAGTAAAAGTGTGTCGTCCACTGCATACATCCCACTTCGGCGCAACACTTCCGTGTCTGCCGCTCTGTCGCCCCAGCCGATCCGCAAAATTCGTCGCAGACACTACTGACGGAACCGCTCGAGACATCGTACATCCCGACGGTACATCGTCCAAGTTTCACTGCCGTATAGAAGAATGGACAGTACCATGGATTTGTACACCATCAGCTTCGTGCCAATGCTAAGCTGATGGTTGTTCCACACTCGGTACTCATGCTTCCCGAATGCCGCTGCCGCCTTCAACACGCGAATGCGCAACTCACTGTGTAGCTGCTGGTCAGTCGACATCACACACCTATGACACCAGATGCAGGAGGTGGTTTCCAATACTTCAGCACCAATGTTGATTTGCGGCAATATTGAAGATTGCACCTCCGGTGAAGGCTAGAAGATACAGACAGTTTTTCTTGTGTTGATGGTGAGCCCGAATTTGGCCGCTGTCGAAGCCAGAGCACTAGTCATATGCTGCAACTCATCCGCGCTGTGCGAAAACAACGCACAGTCGTCCGCAAACAGCAACATTTGGATGGTTGGCTCACAGAATAGAGTTCTCGCACCGAAACGACGGATGTTCAGCAACCCACCATCAATACGGTGCTCCACACGAACACCGTAAGCACAAGCGGCATCAAAAGCACAAGACATCATAGCATGAAGATATATATTAAACAGGGCAGAAGCTAAAACACAGCCTTGCTTCACACCAGAGACAACTGCAAAGTCATCCGAGGTCTATCCACTCAGCTGCACCCTCGCCCACATACAACTGTGCACACATTCGATTAAACTTACAAACTTACACAGACAATCAAACTTACCCAACACCAGAGACAATGCCTCACGGTTCACCGTATCAAATGCCTTGGTGAAATCAACAAAAAGCGAGTACAAAGGCTGGTGTCATTCTCTGCACTTCTCCTGCAGCTGACGAGCCGCAAACATCATATCTATAGTGCTGCGACCAGAGCGCAATCCACACTGCTCTTCCGCCACGTTAGGTTCCAAAATCTGACCGACGAGGTGGTTGAGCAGGATTCGATCAATCAACCTGTCCACACTACTCAGCAAGTTGATGCCACGATAATTCGTGCAACATTGCTTGCTCCCTTTGCCCTTGTACAGTGGTAGCACAAGGGCATGCTTATATGCAGAAGGCACCTGATCCTCAATCCATACGCGTTGCACCAAGTGGTGCAGCGCACTCATCAACGCGAGTCCGTCGTGTTTCAATGATTCAGGCGGGTTCCCGTCGACACACTTGCCGTTTCGCAGCTGAGCAAGTGTTCTCTGCGTTTCATCCAATATCGGCGTGTCTGCAAGACTCGCATTCACATCGCACTGTTTGAGGCCAGAGGATCTCTGAGCGACTGTTCAACAGACAGTCGAAGAGTTTCCGCCAGATCTGCATTATTTCTGCAGTGTGTGCGCAAACAGCGAGTGAACTA